CGTTTGACAAGAGCAACAGTATTAGTTTTATCTAAAGAAAAGAATAGTTTTGTGATTTATACAGATGCTTCAAAGAAAGGTTTGGGATGTGTATTGCTGCAAAATGAAAAGGGTGATTGCATATACTTCTAGGAAGTTAAAACCTCATGAGAAAAATTACCCAACTCACGATTTGGAGTTAGCAGCTATAGTATTTGCATTGAAGAAGTGAAGACATTACCAATACGAGGTGACATTTGAGATTTTTACGGACCACAAGAGCCTTAAATACTTGTTTTTTCAAAAAGAGTTGAATTTGAGACAACGTTGGTAGCTGGACATTTTAGAGGATTATGATTGCACGATTAATTATCACCCAGGAAAAGCTAATGTAGTAGCCGATGTTTTGAGTCGTAAAGTGCAAGTGGCTAGATTAATGATTAAAGAATTACACTTGTTGGAAGAGATTAGTATTTGGAGCCCTCATCTTGAACCAAGAAAGGTAATCCTTGGGAACATTGTCGTGAAATTCGTTTTGCTAGATCGTATCAAGGAGGCACAAGAGAAGGATTCAGAGGTGCAAAAGTGGGTGGAAAAGTTAATAAGATGGAAAGTCAGATTTTAATTTGAGAATAAATGGTGTACTAAGATTTCGGAATCGCATAGTAGTGCCAAAAGATGAAGGGCTAAAAAGGAAAATCTTGGAGGAAACTCATCATTCTAAGTATACGGCACACTCTAGAGAAAATAAAATATACCAAGATTTAAAGAGTCTGTATTGGTGGGAGAATATGAAAAAGAAAATTGCTCGATTTGTCCAGACTTGTTTGATTTGCCAATAGGTAAAAGTCGAGCATCAGAAACCGTCAGGCCTATTGCAACCTTTAGAGATACCCGAGTGGAAGTGAAAAAGAATCACCATAGACTTTGTATTTGGATTACCAAGGGCACAAAGAGGTCACGACGCCGTTTGGGTGATAGTGGATAGACTAACCAAATCTGCTCATTTTCTGCCGATTAGTATGAAGTACCCGTTGGAGAAACTAGTTCAGCTATATTTGGATGAGATTATAAGGTTATATGGGATACCAGTAAGTATTGTATCTGACTGAGACTCTCGGTTTGTTTCTTGGTTCTGGCAGAAGATGCAAGATATGCTAGAAACTAAATTGAGTTTTAGCACTACCTACCACCCACAGACTAATGGACAGTCAGAGAGGACCATTCAAACCCTTGAGGACATGTTGAGGACCTGTATTTTAGATTTTGGAGAGAGTTGGAGTAAGTACTTGACATTGGTGAAATTTGCTTACAATAATAGCTTCCATTCATCCATTCAAATGGCTCCTTATGAGGCACTTTATGGTCGAAAGTGTAGATCTCCGATTTGTTGGGATGAAATAGGTGAAAAAAAGATCTTAAACCCAACTGCAGTACCATGGATTGAAGAGACGTGTGAAAAGTTGAAGTTAATAGGCCAAAGGATTCAGACAGCTCAGAACCGTCAAAAGAGTTATGCAGATAATAGAAAGAAGGATTTGGAGTTTGCGGTTGGAAATCAAGTTTTTTTTAAAATCACTCCTCTAAAAGCAAGTTTGATGGCAGAAAAAAGAAAGAAGTTGTAACCAAGATTTGTAGGACCTTATAAGATTTTTCAACGTTGGAAAACGTGGCCTATAAGTTGGAACTGCCACCAAATTTGTCTCGAATTCATAATATTTTTCATGTGTTTATGCTCAAAAAATACCATCTAGTTTCCTCCCATGTACTACAATCAGAAAATATTGAGATTGACGAGGCATTGACTTAAGAAGAGAAACCAGTGAAGCTTCTGGATCATAAAGTAAAGGAACTAAGAAATAAACGAATCCCTTTGGTAAAAGTTCTATGGAGGAATCACGGAGTAGAGGAAGCAACTTGGGAAGTAGAAGAAGAGATTCGAAAGAAATATCTAGACCTATTTCAGAATCAACGTAGGAATTTCATGGACGAAATTCTTTTAAAGGGGAGAGGATGTGAGGACTCATATTTTATTTTTACTTTAGTTATTTTTATAATTGTTTGCCATAGTATTCTTTAATTATACTAGTATTGTATGAATTTCTCTTAAATTTCGCTTTACAGCGTGTGCGTCAAAAGTTTCTCTAAAGTCGCACCACGCAACTAATTGGAGATGTGATGATTTAATACTATACTAGTAAGTGTGAATTTTTTTTTTTATGGCAAACCCCGTACACGGGGAGGGGATGCCAGCCCCAAATCTTATTGCAAACAAAATAACAAAACTAAGGGAGGGAACAAACCCCCCAAAATTGAAGGTTACAACCAAAACACACCCTAAACCTCTTCAATTAACCAACGAACACCCGGCACTCCACGTGAGTCAAGAATAATCGAAGCCCGAACTATCGCCGGTAGTTGATGAACCGATCATACACTCGGGTGCCTCCAGCCCCAATAGTTGCTAACCTATCCGCAGATGAGTTTGCCTCCCGGAAAATGTGTGAGATAGAGGCCGAAAATCCTTCCAGAAGGTCTCTAACTTTCCTCAAAATATTACATAATGGCCACTTAGCAATTACCCCAGAGCCAACCAACTGCACCAAGGTTTTGGAATCCACCTCTACCAATGAAGGACAAAACCCCCGTTGATCACACAACTGCAAACCAAACAGCAAAGCCATACTTTCTGCCTCCAACACATCCTGTTCTCCAAATTCTTTGTAAAAAGCAAAAATCAATTTCCCCTGACTATCACGCAACAGACCACCACCCGAGGCCCTACCACAATTCACGCTGGCGTCCGAGTTGAGTTTAAGCAACCCCAGTGGCGGTTTCTCCCAGGCAATCGCACAAGCGGTCCTCCTCCGCGAAGAGACCTTAATGAATCTTAGCAACTCACAATCCGCATCCCCCGTAAAGTGCGCCCGACGAAACTTACCTGCCCTCCCGAGCTGTTCCAAAAAATAATCCACATCGCGGAGTATCTTGCCGACCTCCCATCGCATGCCCTGATAGCGCTCCTGGTTCCTGGCTAGCCAAAGGAACCAGCACACTACAATTGGCATGATTGCCCGAATGTGATCCTTCGCAGAGGAAGCTGAAGTAAAGTGCCAAGAGACAAAAACCGACGCCATACTCGAGCAATTACGCAACTGAAAACCAAAACGGCCAGACACTCTCTGCCACACTTCCGAAGCAACCGGTCCAGTTAAAAAAACATGCAAAAGAGCCTCCTCCTCCAGGTAGCAACACCCGCACCGAGAGGGCAAAGCCAAACCCCGACAACGCAACGTCATATCCAAAGGGAGGAAATTACGCTCCAGTCTCCAAGCCAAAAAAGACATTTTTGCCGGCAAAACCGAAGGCCAAAGTAGGGAGTCGACAAGAGATCGATGCTTCCTTTGCCGAAGCACCTCCCATGCCGACTTAACCGTGAAGCATCCCGTTGGCGAAGGCAACCAAACCATCATATCCTTCCGAGCTAAATCATGAGGTACTTCTTTGATCGCCTGGACGACAAACCCTGGAACCCACCGGGCAAGACGCGTTTCATCCCATCCATCCCTAGCAATAAACTCCGAGACAATAAAATGAGGCTTCTCAGAGCGATCCACCACACTCTCTAAAGGCTCATGAAAAACCCATCTATCCTTCCAAAAATCCACAAGGCCTTCCCCTAAACACCACCTAATGTTCTGTTCAGCCATTTGACGTATGGCTACAAGACGCCTCCAAGTACCTGTAGCCCGCTCTACCGATGCCTCCGATGGATGAACTCCTTTGATGTATTTGGCATGCATGAACTTTGCCCAAATGGACTCTCCAAGCCTAAAATGCCACCATAATTTAGCCGCAAAAGCCCTTGCCATGTCCTTAAAGGACCGAAAACCTAGACCCCCTTCATCAATGGGAAAGCACATCTTGTCCCAGGAAGACCAATGAATGCGCCTCTCCCCCTTATTATCCCAAAGAAAGGAATTACAAATTTTACCCAACCGTGTGAGTACCGCCTTTGGAGGATTCAACACCTGAAGTAAGTACATAGGTAATGAAGCTAGTACATGCCGTGCTAAGACCAGCTTACCCCCAAAGGAGAGCAACTTAGTACTCCAGTGTCCAAGACGGGCCCGCATTTTAGAAACAATATCGTCAAACAAGACACCCCGCCTCCGACCTTTATATATAGGAGCACCCAAATAAATGAATGGGAAAGATTGCCTGTGAAAGCCTAGAACCCGAGTCACCAACTGCTCCTGTCCCGACGTAGCCCCTGAAGGCAAAAAGAACGAGCTCTTGTTGACATTCACCCTTTGGCCTGAAGCCTCCTCATACTCCGACAAAAAACCCTTTATTGTGGACAGGCACTCCTCTGAGCATCTTGTGAACAAGAGCATGTCATCCGCGAAAGCCAGGTACGGCACCGGACTTCCTGCCGTAACAAAATACCTGCCGGGCTGACGATCCAGCAGATGGTGTAACCCACGACCTAAAAAGTCGGCCACTAACACAAAAAGGCCAGGAGAAACCGGGTCACCCTACCTAACACCCCTTGAAGATTTAAAAAAACCAGCAGCCTCACCATTCACCAATACTGAAAACCAATTATTAGACACCAAACGAAAGAAAATGTCGACCACCTGTTCCACAAAACCAAATTTCCGAAGCATAAACAAAAGAAATGGCCACTCGACCCTGTCATACGCCTTTTCCATATCCAACTTTAACATGAGGTTCGGGTGTCTCAAACGCCTATCTAAATCTACCACCAGCTCCTGCGTCAGAAGGATGTTATCCGTTATCCCCCGTCCGGGTACAAAACCAGTCTGCCACGGTGATACTAAGGCAGGGAGAACCCTACCCAACCGATCTGAGACGAGCTTAGAAATAATTTTAGAACAGACGTTGCAAAGACTAATTGGCCGAAAGTCCTTCCACTGCATGGCGCCTGCGATCTTAGGCAGTAAAATAATAGACGTGCTAGTAAAACTCCTAGGCAAACGCATACCCTGGAAAAAAGCCTAAACCGCTTCCAATAAATCAGACTGGATAATATCCCAACAGGCCTGGTAAAAACCTGCCCCAAACCCATCTGGCCCTGGTGCACTGTATGTGTCCAACGCGAAAACCACCCCCTTTAATTCTGCCATGTCAGGTAAAGCAGATAACATGTCATTGTCTGCCGGAGCTAGCTGAGGGACCGAGAAGGGCAGCTCCGGAGAATGCCACCCATGTTGTTCAGAAGCGAACAAAGACGAAAAGAACTCCACTGCTGACTGCCTTATGTCTTGTATATCCTCCAACCATGTACCTGAGTGATCTTTAATGCGGGCGACAAAATTAAAATTCCGGCGTTGCCGGCAGCGAGAATGGAAATATGCTGAATTAGCATCCCCAACCTGCAACCATTTGATGCCCGCCTTCTGCCTCCAATACTCACCCTCCAACGCCAAACTCCTGGCATAAACCGCCTTTGCCTCCTCCAACGCTGCTCTGGACGCAGAGTCCCTCTCAGTGTCAAACTGCTCCTCACGTTGTTTCATAATAGCCTCGGCCTCCCGTACCTTGCTAAAAATATTGCCAAATATTTGGACATTCCATACCTGCAGGCAACCTTTAATAGCCCTCAGCTTATTATAAAATTTCGACATACCCTCACCCTCCACCGGCGTCGCCCAACCCTGCTGAACCACATCCATAAAACCCGAATGCCTCCTCCAAACATTCAGAAATCTAAACGAACGTTTGCTGGGACTCCCATTCTGACAGTTAATCAAGAGTGGAGCATGATCTGACCACCCCCTGGACAAGTGGGAGACATGCGAAAGCTCATACCCATCAGCCCACTCCTGATTCATGAAGGCCCTATCCAATCTCTGCCATACCCTACCATTCGTCCAAGTAAATAAAGCCCCATCAAAAGGCACCTCCGACAAGCCGCAATTGCCAATAGCTTCATTAAATTCCTCCATGTTCCTTGCATTAGCCGGAGAACCTCCCACACGCTCTTCCGTACTGGAAATGACATTAAAATCCCCTGCCAGTAACCATGGCCCGAGAACTTCTCCCGCCAATCCTTCCATTGCCGACCACAACTCTCGACGCCCCACCCTCGAGCACCGAGCATATACTGCCGAAAATTGAATTGAACACCCGGAAGAGAAAATGATGTGCATGTGAAGAAGTTGCTCTGCCATCTCCCTGAAGCTCAAAGACAGCTCATTGTACCAAAACACCCACACCTTATTATTCAAAGCTCCCACCGCCTTATCAAACCCCAGAAGCCGACGTACCACCTCCAATTGTGGAGTATCCGACAAGGGTTCCAGAAGTACCAGCAATCTTATTTTATTGTTTATGCAAATCTTATTAAAATACCTAAGTGAGTCCTTGCGAGAGGCCCCACGTATATTCCAAACAACAAACTTAATGTGATTTAACATGAGACCGCAAAGAGTAGTGATTTTGAGATTAGAGATGAACCTGATTGAGAGAAGCTTTCGCCGAGCGACCACCCTTGTGCCGAGTTTCAAGCTGACCATACTCCGCGACCTCAGGCTGCTCTAGCTCGTTCAGCCCCTCTCTTGGTCGCTTCGGATCATCGAGCAGCCGACGATGCAACACCCTTTGAAACTGTTTTAGTTGCTCCCACGGCGCTACTTCCCCCGGATTATGCCCGTCCGAACATTGCCGTCTATGACCCAGCTTAGCTGGCCGAACATGACTCGCAGACCTAGAAGGAGTGCGATCAAAATCCTGCACCTCCATGTCTGATATAGTGTGCAACACTGCAAAGGTATTAGAGAAAGCCGCGGCCAACTCCTCCCTCTCCCATTCACCCGCCTGCATTGCCAACGTACGGTCCGAAACCTGCACCAACTCCTTTGTATCCCTCGAAGACGATTCCGGTATAGCAGCAAGCACATCAGCAGCAACCGAAATTGTAGCAGTCTCAGCACCAACCATTGTTTCTTCAGCTACCGAAGTGGTAGCAGAATTAGTCGATAGCAGCGGCGCCATCTGAACCCAATCCACCGCTTGGTTCTGCACCGCCCGCCCCATAGCAGCCTTCGCGTCCTCCAGCACAGAGGGAGCAACCACCTCTGGATCCAAATTGCCATCATTTTCCCTCTCTACGCCCTGGCCAGAAACCAAGGCACCATCAGTCCGCTGGTGCCACTCCACCTGTTTCATCGCTCCTTCCCGCTGCATGAGATCTTGACCATTGTTAACCTTAGGCCTGTAAACCTCCGATGCCTTCCCTATCCTCGTAAACGATTTTTTGGGGGGTTGGAGACCCGGATTCCTCCTAAAACATTCCTCGTCTTCATGTCCAAATTGAGTACAGAACCCACAAAACTTCGGCCAGCTCTCATATTCCACATCCTGCCAGAACCCCTCCTGATCCTCCCCAATCCAAATTCGATTTGGGGGCTGTTTCGAAACATCCATCTCAATCAGGACCCGCGCGACCGAAGGACGTCAGAGCGCCAATGTCGCCGCGTCAATCTTCAGACATCGCCCCAGCAAACTAGCTAATTTGGCAATGTACACCGCATTAAACAAAGGCAAAGGAAGTGTTGGCAGAGATACCCACACCGGAGCATATATCGAATCCTTATGAACCTTGAAATCCAACGTCCATTTTGATAACAGCATCTGCGCACCCTTCACGAACTAGGACCGGCGCACAAAAAGCCGTGTATAATCCTCCTCAGTCGACGGCCTGATCAGAACGTGATTCAGATCCAGAAGGCCAACATCACAGTCTCCCTTGAGACCCAGCGAAACAAAAAAACCCCTAATAACCTCCATTGGTGGGCGACGAAACGGAAATCTTCCAACCAATGCATTTTTAAAAGGCGTCGAAAGCAGTTGCATATCTCTCTGGGATAGTCGCAGCGCCGGCTCCCCTCTATGAATCGAGCAACAACCCAGATCTGGAATATTTGACACCTCCAGCCGGCCCGAACCAGATAGCACGTCGGCGAAGGACTTGGAAGGTGCTGCGCAGCCGGGTACACCTCCTGTGGCCGGCGGCAGCCACGGAGGACCCTCCATGCAAACCCTATATTTTTTAGGGTTACCAAACTTGTATAGATAATAAAACTAGCATTCTATTTACAACTCAAAAGGAAAAGGAGTTCAAATTATAAACTTATAAGATTGGAAGGTTGAGTGAGTTGATTGAAGCAAGATTGAAGCAAACTTGGAGAGTTTTCTTTCTTCCTTTCTTGAGAGAGAGGGCCGGCCAAGTCTTAGAGAAAAAATACTAGTAAGTGTGAATAATTACAATGTTAGAATAATTACCTTGGAGGATTAGCGCATAAGTGTAACAAACAAGACAGAAAGTGATAGTGCACAACACTATTTAGCTACTATTAAGGGTTGACTTTTTGCAACTTTAAGATAGCTTGTCTATGATACGAACGTCGCCAACTTGTGATGAAACCCGCACAAGACAAGCGCTCAGGATCTAGAGGGACGGAACACGCTTGGAGGTTGATGGAATCTTGACCCATTAATCACGTGGCTAATGAACCTTGGTATAGTGTAGAAGACGCCACAATCTAGTGTGATTCTAGATTGATAAGTCAACTTGAAGATCCTAGGGAATTAATCTAAGAACTTCAAGAAAAGCTCACAAGAAGCCAATGAGAGAACTCTCAATTTTGTATTAAATGTAATCTGCCCCAAAGTGCGGCAATTAGCCTATTATATATAGCCTTACAATAAGAAATCCTAATGTGAATTGGAAAGACTAAAATATGACAAAATTTCCTAATTGATAGGATACTTTAAATCGGCTCTCAAGAGCATGCAAGCTAGCCGAATTAACATGACTATGACATGACTAGGAAATACTTCGAATGACTAACTAAAACAACTAAACATCAATATATAAAGGCTGAATAAAATAGATAGGCAGATTGCATGTGCTTATAAAACGTGCCCACGCCTTATAGCGACGCAGCTGCAGTGACTTAATTAAACGGCAGAAGACATAAGCGTGCCCACGCCTTATAGCGATCCGACTGTGATTGAATGGCAGAAGGCTTGTTCTTATAAAGCGCGCCCACGACTTATAGGCCATGGCCTTCAAACAAGGTCCCCTTCATCGAGCAAGCCTTCTATCAAGGTGACTTGCCTTTTATCCTCATACGCAAGGCCTTCTATGGGCCTAGGCCTCTCAACTTGCGCTTGGACAGTTTGGACTAGAAGTTGGAGTGCTTTCTTCATTTTCTTGGCTCGTGCTCGCATGACCGGGCCAAGGGGAAGTTTCATTTGTTCTACTTGCATGGTTTGATCGGTTCCTTCAGTCACATCATTCCCCTCCTCTTGAAGAGGATTTGCCCTCAAATCTGGTTCGTCATCTACGAGAAAGGAACTAAGGTCAGTGACATTAAATGTGGCACTTATAGCCCCATACTCACCTGGGAGGTCCAACTTGTATGCATTGTTGTTCACACGCTCAAGAACTTGGAATGGGCCATCGCCTCTTGGGAGTAGCTTGCTTCGCCGTTGAACTGGAAACCTCTCCTTGCGAAGGTGCAACCAAACCCAATCACCAGGTTCAAACTTGTGACAAATCTCCCAGGTGTACTAGTTGGCCGTGCAAGTCCCCTCCTCTTGAGGCGGCGTTCTACTTTTGAAACTTTGTCCACCAACTCACGAAGATCCACGTAAGACTGTAGCTCCACCACTTCGGCTATCTCGGGTCTCAATCCACTAAGAAATCGAGTCATTGTGGCTTCATGATCCTCAACAATGTCCGCACGAAGCATGATAATCTCAAGTTCTTTGTAATAATCATCTACACTCCGGTTGTCTTGGGTGAGGGTTTGTAATTTTTGATAGAGATCGCGATAGTAGTGATTGGGCACGAATCTCTTCCTCATGATAGCTTTCAACTTATCCCAAGAACCAATTTGTCTCTCTCTAGTCCTCCTACGGCTGGTCTTGTCTTGCTCCCACCATACGATTGCGTAATCAGTGCATTCGAGGGTAGCAAGCTTAACGTTCTATTCCTCTGTATAGCTTTGGCAGTCAAATACCATCTCAAGGCATTGTTGCCACTCCATGTACTCCTCCGGGTCTGATTTACCTTGAAAGGAAGGTATTTTAATCTTTACTCCTTTGAATGCGTCACCGGACTTCTTGGTCTCATATTGGTGGCGTCAAACAACTACCTCCTCATCACTATTCGAGTCATACTCTTCATGTAATCGAGTTTTTCCCCGAACAGATTTGGAGCGACTTTGAGCACTTGCTAATTGGTCAATCTCTTCATGAACGGCCTCCAAAGATTGTGTCAACGTGCGCTGGAATTGTCCAATCAGATCAGCGTTGTTATGTTTTGGGTCAAAATGTGATAATACGCCTCCGTTTGACATGCTTGGGTAACCTGCAATGGTTAGTGTAGAAAAGAAACAAGTATATGTAACCTCACACACTCCCTCACGTTTTTTCTCTCGACTCTCGTGTATCACTCACAATTACTCACTCTAATGATCTCACAAATAGCACTTATTAGCCTTTGTTTGCCTCTCTTGAAGAAACCAGAAAATTTCCTCCAAGAAGCTCCAATGAGAACGTCTCAACCACGGATCAAGCAATGGATGAAACAAGGGTAAACTGGATGAATTTCAGATTTATGACACACTTAAGACGCTGGTTTTGACTCAGATAATGTTCGAAAATCCCAAAGATGATCGACAAAGAGACACGACTCAAACTCAAAGCTGAAATTTTGGAAGCCTAGAAAGACTCCTACCCGACAAACTAGAATTTTGAGCTGCTATTGTGCCGAGTTTTGGTCAGTATTTTGGAGGGAAGAAGGTGCTTTTAGGATATTCAAATAATGTCAGAAATGGTCCCTGAAATTCAGCCCAATCGATTTACAATAATTAGTCCAACCGTCCTTGGAAATCAATGAATCCTAACGCAACTTGGACAAGGACTTGTGGCGGTTTTAGGAGACTGATTTGGAGTGGTTTTGGGGCTGTTCAATGTCGGTTGGGTATTGGCAATCAATCAAGAATCGAAACTCAAGATATGGAAGCCAATTGGGATTAGGACCCAACCGTGAATTGGAATCTCAAATTTGGAAACCAATCAATATTAAGAAAGCTGATTGCTTTTGGAGATCCGAATCCTTTCTTCCTTTTTCTTTTTTTTTTTCTTGATTCATTTTTTTTTGTTCTTTTGATTAAGATTTCGGCTCTTCAAGGGACACAACTTCTGGTTGCTCCAATCAGATCAAGAAACGATGGCAAGTTATGCAAGCTGTCAAGAACCCCTAGTTCTTGATTTATGGCTTCAAGAACTTTCAAAACAAGTTTTTTTTTGTGGTCCAAGAACATCAAGAATCTGGTTCATGAAATTCAAGAACTTCCTCAATTATGTTATGGCATCCAAGGCTTGCAATAACAACAACCAAAAC